GATGATGTGTTTTGACCCCTCAATGGCCATCCATCTGTTCTCATTCATTTGAGCACTGAGAGGCGTTTCATTACATCTGAAGCATCATTTATTATTGCAGGTGTATGTCTAAGTATGCATTTATTCCTGGACATCCAAACAAGAGCCCAGGTACTATTAGGTTTGGAGCGTTTGTGGAGTGTTTTTATTCTGTCAGACTGATTAATGTCTGAACTGATTAACTATTGCTTTGGTCTCTGCCAGCAAGTCAAACACAGTCCACAGACTCACTTCAATGTCAACTTACTGACCGTGAAACTTAATTGCATTATTGGACCAGTCGCATTTAGAACATTCATTTAATCTGATTAATTATTTTAAAAATGCAAAACATTTAAGATGTAATGACTCCTGAAATTATACATTTCTCTTTTATGCCAAAAATCATTAGGATAATTAGGTTGTATTTATTTGATCAAAAATGCAATACAAATTATAAAAATTATATTACAAATTGAAACAGCTGTTTTCTATGTGAATATGTGTTAAACTGTAATGTATTTCTGTGATGTGCAGCTGTATTTTCAGCATCATTCCTCCAGTCTTCAGCGTCACATGATCTTCAGAAATCAGTATAATATGCTGATCTGCTGCTTGAGAAACATTTCTGATTATTATCAATGTTGAACTCAGTTGTGCTGCACAATATGTTTGTGGAAATACATTTTATTTTTCAGGATTTATTTGAAATAGAAATCTTTTTAACATTATAAATGTCTTTACTGTCACTTTTCATCAATTTGTCCTTGCTGTATAAACGTATTAACTTCTTTCAAAAATATATATATTTTAAAGCTTTTGAATAGCAATGTACATGAGACACACATATGCTTTGGCACACAATAAAAAAAATGCTAAAGATGATTAATGACCTCATCAAAATTCCACAGCTTTACAGAAATATTATTTAGGTTTAGCAATTAATGTCTTATTCATTTCTGAATGGTACCATGTGAAGAACATTTTTCAATTTTTTTTCTTTTGGCTCTGGAAAATCAAATATGCATGTCCTCTTTCCTACACAAAATGATGACGATTTCAGGTCGTTTCGTCTAATTTGCAGGAGAGGGTCATTAGTCTTGCTTAATCAAGATTGCATAACTTTACAGACAAACTTTGAGCCATGCACACATGACTGTAACAGACCATTTAGTTCCTGTAAACTATTACCCGGTGCAATGTTCCTTGAAACTATAGCAAGGCAAATGCACTTTATTTTTTGTCCCAGTGGCATCTAGGTAGAATCTCAAGACCAGATGATGGGTAACAAGCTTGGGCTCTTTGCTTATGCTTAATACCCAAAAACTCAAGGCAATCATTATGAAATAAAAGCATGTAATGCTGTAGAGATATACAGCATGATTTCAATGGCCACAGACAGAAGCCAGCACATTTAACACTAAAATCAACAGAAGAGAGCCATTACTGCAATAGAGACTCTTCTCTGAATTACACTTCAGATCCCCTCATTACAATAACAGGACAGCTGTCGAGTTTTATTCTATACTGGATCAAATGGCTGGATCTGTCTTTCATACACTTGACCACAGAGAGTGATCATGAGAAAGGCAACGAGTCTTAAGTCTCTGTTTTTGGTAGCATTACGCCGACTGGCACATTTTACAGCCTTCACTAAAAAGTTTGAGCCACTTAGTGAGGAAAATATAGCTTTCAGACCACTTTTTTTTATTGGGTATTAAAAATAAAAGACTAATATATGTATATAGGTACTGTGGACATTGTTTTAAGAGTAAATTAATGGTTAAAATAAAAAATTAATTAACATGAAAACTGAAAGTATTAAATTAATTCAAAATATTAATAAAAATAATATAATAAAAAATATTTTTATAATAATACTAAAATAGTTTATATATATATAATTTTTTTTATTTTTATTGTTTTTTTATTATGCACAGACCTCATATTTGCTGGATGAAATCCAAGAGTTATTTCTTAGTAAAGGGGTCCTATTATGCTTTTTCACTTTTTCAACTTAAGTTAGTCTGTAATGTTGCTGTTTGAGCATAAAAAAGATCTGTAAAGTTACAAAGCTCAAAGTCCACTTCAAAAGGAGATATTTTATTTAACAGAAATCACTTTTCAAAAACTACAACGCACGACTCGTTTGGACTACAACGCATATTTTCTGGGATTTGTAATGATATGAATATCGACGAATGGGACGAGACCTGGTTGAGCTGCACTAGAGAAGGCA